AGTTGGGCCGCTTGCATCCCTACCCCTTGAATCCTGGACCCTGGACGCTGGCTTTGGGAGAAACAGCACCTGTGCTGGACCCGATTCAGGGCACACACAGCCCTCAGGAGTGTGCGGCCCAGCTTGCAAGGTGTCATCCCTCACTGGGGCCGTAGCTAAGTCTTGAAAAGCCCATTCCACCCTTCTGTCAAGCCCGTGGCTTCAAGATGATGGGGAGCATGAAGTATTAAGTTTTATGTTATATTTATTTTTGTCATAATAAAATGCTATGAATGGCCAACACAGGACCCACTGGGGCCAGGGACAGGGAGCCCTGGCCATCTCGAAGAGCTTTTCAGCATCATGCAGTGATGTTAAGAAAATGCATGGTTCATGCAGAAATTCCACTCCCGTGCATGTGCCCTGAGGAAATTTTTTCGATGTGCTTAGAAACTCCTGTGGGAATGTCCAGAAAAGCCCTGTGTCTGCTCGAAACACCTCCACACGACTAACATAAAACTTATGTCCAGGGGCCAGGATTTAGCTCAGTGGTTTCCCCACCTGCTGCGCAAGCGCAAGGACCCAAGTTCAATCCCCAGAACCAAAAAAAGAAAAAAAAAACTTATGTCCAAAGTAAAAATTATCCTGGGGCACGAGGATCGCTGTGAGTTCGAAGCCAGCATGAGTTACACAGTGAGTTCAAGGCCAGCCTGGATTGCATAGCGAGACTCTCTCTCTCAAAAAACCAAAATTAAATATTAATATTAAATTTGAAAGATGAAGAAGTTAATTCTGCACTTTGTTTTGATGTTACCTGGCTCCACAATTCCTACCGGTGCTCACAGTCAGAAGGAGAGAAGGGACTGAGGCCCTTGAAAAGGCAGGGGACAGTGAGTTGCTCCTAGCCGCAGTGACATGAGGGCCTTGGGCCACGTCCCCAGAGGATGGCCACGCCCTGGGTCTGCGACTACTGCGAGGAAGGAAGGCAAGGACTCCATCCAACCCCGGGTTCCCAGCAGGCTCCTTGGGGAATGCGGAGCCCAGTTCAAACAGGGAAGCAGTTCTTGGGTTGTTGTTCTTGTGGTTGGGGCAGGTCCTAGGGCTGTCTCCAAGGCTCCCAGGTCGCTGTAAAAATAACAATGCCCTTTTGTTGAACTCTGCACCCATACCGCGCCAGGTTTACACTGCCTCCTGTGAGACAGGTACACAGATTTCCCATTCAGAGACAGCCTGGCACCAGGCTGCGTCACAAAGCAGGGACGGGCGGAGCCGGCACAGGGCCTGGGAAGAGACCCTGACACGAGGCTCCTCTGCTTCCAGGGACCCCAAGTCCTCCAGGCCCCTCTGCTCCAAACCCAGAGGGAAGCAGCTGCAGGGGTGGCATGGCGAGCAGCAGTGACGGAGGAGGAAACCCTGTCCACTCCCTGTCCCTTGCCCCTGCTGGCCACATGTCATTCTCTTCCTCCAGGCTGGCTCCAAGCCTGGCAAGAATTCCCATCATCCCCAGCACCCTGGTTCCCAATGTTGGAGGGGACTCAGGTGCCTTGCAATCCGAGTTCCACTTGTAAAGTTGGGGGAGAATTTGTGGTCGCCTAGCACTGCTGGCCTGATGGGTCCACTGCTTGTCCCTAGCTCTGCCCTCAGGACACTTCCTGTGTTCAGTACTGGGGAGGGGCAGGCTGGGGACTCTCCCTCCCATGTGCACAGTTTCTGGCCTACTTCCTGCTTCCAGGCAAGGGCCCGAGTGCCTTTGGGTGGGGCTGCAGGCTCTGCTGCCTGCGGCAATGTCTCCTTACATCTGCGAATTGCTCCCTATGGCCTCCGGGTCCACAGCAGAGCTCCGGTTGGTGAAGCTCGCTGGTGAGGCTCAGGCCCAGTGGGCCCTTCACCCTGGTGTCCCCTGAGAGGACAGACACTTCCCAGAGCGTCAGAGTCATCCCTGGGGACCACCCCCCCAGCCAGACCAGGGTAGACCAGCTGTCCTGTAGCTCCTCACAAGATTTGGGGTTGTTCTCCTTGTACTCTGAACTCCAGCTGTCTTCATCTGAGACTGCCCTGGGCAGGGACAGAGGAGCCTGACTCTCCCTTTGTTCTCTAAGAATTGCCCGTCTCATTCTAGTGAAACGTCCCACTTCCCAAGGCACCTGGTGAGGACAGAAGGTGCTCAACCTCTCTATGCCTCAGTTTCCCTTTTTTCCAGTGCTGGAGATCGAACCCAAGGCCTCACCCATGCTAGGCAAGGGCTCTACCACCAAGCCACACACCTCAGCACAGTTTTCTACTTGTAAAGCCTCATAGGGAGGCAGTGAGCATGATGTCAGGTCAGGCATATAGGTCAGAAGAGTGCCCAGCACCCACAAAACGTCAGAACTGGCACTAGTGTTGCCACGGCTAATAGCCCCCAGGACTTGCCTCCTCTGATAGCCTCAGTTTCTGGCCCACGCTGGCCCAGCCCCACATGGGTATGGCAAAGCATAACCAAAATGGTGCCCACTGCCACAAGATCCGGGCACCAAAGCCGCTGACTTCCTGCTCAGGTGACCTGGCCCATTCCTCCTAAACACCGTCTAGAGGCAGATGGATGGGATGGTGGGCTTCAGCTCTGACTGCCATGACCAAGCCCCCCAGCACCAGCCCCTTCCAGGCTGCAGTAGAGTCTGTTCTCCTTGGCCATGTTCAGGGGACACTAGTCTTCCTCCTTCAGGACTAACAGTGCCATCACGATGTCCAGTGCCAGCATGTCCCACAACACTGCAGGCTCCCTGGTGTGGCACGGATCTCTGCACCCTGTGGACTGTTGGCCGCTAGCTCAGACCATGAAGGCTTCCGTGAGGACAGCTTCTGGAGGGCCGCATCCTGGGCATTGTGGACGATCAGCTACCTAGGTCAGGGCCGTGAGGCATGGAAGCTGGCTTGGTGTAGGCCCATAAGGCGCAGTCACTGCCACGAATGCTTCCAGTCTTCGTGCTTTCCAGAAGGGCAGGACCATGGCACCTGTTGTACCATCAAGTCCAGGGTAGGTAGCAGGCTCAGAAGCACACACCTGTAACCCCAGCTCTCAGGGAAGCTGAGACAGGAGGATTGCAAGTTTGAGCCCAGCCTGGGAAACCCAGCTGCTGAGAGAGGGTCTGTGTCAAAATTTGTAAAATATTATAAGGGCTGGGGATGGAGCTCCATGCAAAGACCCTGGGTTCAATCCCCAGTATTGGAAAAAAAAAAAGTTAGGGGTACAGACCAGGCAGTGTGGCTTCGTGGTGGGAGGGGAGGTTGGGCTGAACTCCAAATACACAGCTGGGGAGAATGGTGATGACAGAGCAGAGTGGGCTCCGTGGACGGAAAGTCACTCAGAGGAGACACCGGGCAAGGGGGATTCTGGCTGCATCCTCCTAATAGGCTTCTTGCTGAAACTGAGTTTTATAGGGAGGAGCACAGATGGTCCAGTGAGAAGGCTCAGGAGCCTGACAGCGCCCAGCCAGGCAGAATCTATGTCATCATCTTCTCCTTCGGGATCTGCCATGGGCTGGAAAGTCTCCAAGCCAGGAAGGGTAAGAGGAGCCAAGGAGAGGCCCCCGTGGGAGCCAGAGCATGCTGAGTGGTGGCTTCTCTGTCCCAGGGTCAGGGCTGGGACAAGACATGGGACACCCACGGTGTGAAGAAGGAGGTGATTCATTTGGCTCATGGTTTCAGGAGATTCAGTCCATGGTCGCTGGTTCCCAGACAGAAACATCCTGGCAGAAGGGTGTGGTGGAGGAAAGCTGCTCAGTTCATGGTGACCAGGAAGTAGAGATAAGGGAAGAGCACCAGAGAGGAAGGGGCAAGGGACCAGACACAGTCCTCAAGGGCATACCCCATGACCCATCCAGACGCCAATCAAGCCAAGCACATCAACCATCACAACTGACTGTCACGGGCCCCTGGAATCTAAGCCTGCAGGTGACTGGAGACACAGTGGGTCTTCACACCCCCGAACCCCCCTTTGCTGCGGTCTGTTCTGCAGAAGGTGTGTGAGATCTCATGTGAAGGTCACATACTGCTGTTGTCTCTGCTCTGGGATCAGGGCCTTGGGATGGGCCTCAAGGCCCATCCCAAGGGTCAGTCTGGCCTCCGGGCAGGGGCATCTTTGCAGATCCCAGAGGGTGCTGGCTTCCTTCCCCGGGTGCTGGGATGGATTTACCCTCGGGGCTGCCTCTGTCCCCTGTCACCTGCCAGGGACAGAGCAGGTGGCCGAGGTGCCCAGGGCAGGCCGTTGATCATGATGGGAGCCCAGGGGAGCCCGTCTGCATCTCAGTCACACGGCAGACCCCTCCTGCTTCTCTCTGCTTTGGGCATTGATTAAAATTAGTCCCCATGCCAGTAGTTTAACTTTCATTGTTTGTCTCAGGATTTAGCAAGGGAAATTAAAACGTATTTGCTGCCAGATGTAATTTCATTCCAAAACAGCTGGCTGTCTCTGTGAGGGACACTGTTACTTCCCGAGACCCCCGAGAAGGCAAGGGGGCACCGTTGGGAGCCACAGCCGGGGGCAGCTCAAGAGCTCCTCACGGACACCCCTAGAAGCCCCCTCTGCTGAGGTTTCGGTGCCACCCAGTTCCTGGGCTGGGAACCGAGTCGGGGGTGAGGAGAGTCCAGTGAGGGGACCATCACGATGCATTCGTGGCTTTCTGGGAAGAGCAAGGGAGATGGAGCAGGCTCCTCGCATGGCTGCCATGCGACGCCCTGCCAGATGCCAGGCCGCCCTAGGGACTCCTGGGCCTGCTGAACCCGAGCCCCCTGGCCCTCACCTTAATTAAAGCCCCTGCTGGGCGTGACCCACCCCCAGTCCTAACCACCCCAGGAGCAGGGGAGCCCTCCTCACCCAGCAGGGTCGCCCCTGCTGTTCTGAGGCCCAAACCAGGGTGCGTCCTGGGGACCTGGAACTCTCTGGGAGCCCTTGATACTGAGCAAGGCTATGAAACCCGGCCGTGATAGTCACTTGTCAGTACAACCGGAGAAAACTCATAAAGAAGGTGGCAGCAGCTCTGTTCCAGGTCATAAAAGTCTTTTCTTCCTGGGGACAAACTGTCGGCTGTAAAAACAGTAAAGAATTCTGCTGTAGAGAAGAAAGGGAAAAGGGCTACATCCTCCTTTGCCTGTGTGTCCTTCAGAAATCATCTTCGGCACCCTGGGAGCCTGAGGCAGGAGGACTGCAAGTTCCAAGCCAGCCTGGGCAACTTAGTGACTTAGCAGGACCCTGCCTTAAAACTAAGACATTTTAAAAAGGGCTGGAGATGTTGCTCTGTGTGCAGGCCCTGGGTTCAATCCCAGTGCTGCCAAAAGAAAGAAAATTTTAAAAGCAACCACCTGCGATCTCCTAGAAAAACAACCAAGTGAAAATTAGTGTTTGAACATCGGGGTTCCTCAAAAAAACAAGAGTCAGGAACCCGGAATAGGTTTCGCACTGTACAACGGCAAGAGGTACCACTCACAGTGGTTGCTCTGAGATGGCAGATTGAACATGACGTTTTCCAGCAGGTCTCACAGACAGGGTGACTTGTAAGAAACTGCTGACAAACTCACAGCCCCATCTTGGAACATGAAAGGAATTGAACCCAAGAGACATGCCGTGCTCTGTGTGGGTTGTGACATGGAGCTGGTTTTGTGTCCTGTTGTCCTTTGACCTAAATCTAGGACTGGGGCCCAGAAGTCCAGGTGGGGTGGTACCCGATCAGCCCCAGGGGACCTCAGGTGGGCTGCAGCCGCTGCGCCAGGTGGAACACTTCCTTCCAGACTCGGCATGTTTAAAACACTGGGGCTCACAGTGGAAAACTGGGGGCCCTCAAGCTGAAGTCCCGCTTTCCTGCCTCTCTCAAACGTGGCGGATCAGACTCACTGGGCTGGGCCTCAGGCTGCCGGGACTGAGCTCACCACCCGGCACCTGGCCGTCAGTGCCCCCCCGGCCTAGGACCCACTCCCTGAGCTGTTGCTGGGACTGGCTAGGGACAGTGGCAGTGGGGCCCAGGTACCCCGTGTCCCTAGAAGGCAAGGTCAGAGGCTGCTGCCAAGCAGACACCCCAAAGCCTCTGAGCACCCCCTGGCCTGGAGCTTAGCTTAGTACCAGGGGAAGGGTGCAGGGCGCCCCCACGCCTGTGCCAGCTCTGCCACCCTCACTGCACAGGGCAGAGAGGGCAGGGTGCCAGGCTGCCCCCGCTTCTGCCCCACCAGGCTCGAGCAGAAACCAGCAGTAAATACCCGTCATGGTGCCAAAAGGAAAAGGAGACCCAGCTAGGGGCCGGGGGAGGACGGAGCGGGGTCTAAGGCGGGGAGGGAGGGAGAAGCCGCTGTGCGCTGTCAGGTCCCTGCTCCTGGGGTCCCTGCTCCTGCGGGTCCCAAAGCGGTGATGGGTGGAGCCCACGGCCAAAATGAGGAGCCCGGCCTCCCTTCCTCGAGGACACTGCTGGCTCAGCCCCGTTTACTGGGAGGAGTTGGGGCCTGGTCGCTTCTTCAAGAGCAGCAAATGAAAGACACCCAGAGCAACAACGGGGAAGAGCTTAGGAGGAAGAGCTGGGGATGGCTGGCATCTGAAAAAATAGAAAGTTGAGATACAGTTACAGTCAATAATCTCAACCTTTCCTTTTTCCACCACTAGGAATTAAACCCAGGGTCTTCACACTGAGCTACATCCCCAGTCCTTTTTCATTTTTTATTTCGGCCTCCATAAGTGGCTAAGTCATCCGTGTTGGGCTCTAACTGTGACCCTGCTGCCTCGGCCTCCCCGAGTGCTGGGATAACAGGTGTGCAGTGTTATTCCTGGCTGCTCACAATCATTTCTCTAATAAAAATGCTCCCTAGGTCCGGGATGTAGGAAGTGCTGTGGGGGTCAAGGCTGTGAGAAGAGCTTCCTGGGCTGAGCACCAGGAAGGGGAGCAGCTGGGATCGGGGGACAGGAGAGCCTGGCCCTCTGGGACTGCGGGGGCCGAGGGCCCTGTGGACTCACCAGCTTCTTCCCTTCCACTGCACCTGCAAGGCCTTGTCCTCTTCTTGTGGCCTGCTGCAGTCGCCAGGCCCTGGTCTCCCAGGCCTGGTTTTTCCAGTTGGACCGGACACACCCACGGAGCAGGCATCCCGGGCCTGGGGAGGAGGAACCTGCTGAGCTCACCAGCCAACCCCCACCTGGGCCATGTGTGTCCAGCCAGCACACTGGGCTTCGGGTTCCTGGCCCCTCGATCTCAGCCGGGCAAAGCAGCGATTCGGTGAGCCCCCACCCCCCATCCCCCCGTCCTGCCTGAAATGACGGATCTGAAAGGGCTTTGCGGGGAAGACAGAAGCAAACTGAGCTTAGAACAAGACACAAAACCACAGCGCCCGCCAGGACAGGAGAACACAGAATACTCACACAGGGCCCGCAGCTCGGCAGGGTGAAATCCAAACACTTGGGGGATGCTCCTTAAAAAATAGGATGCAGGGCCAGGGATTTAGCTCAGTGGTTTCGACGCCTGCTGTGTAAGTGCAAGGACCTCAGTTCAATCCCTGGTACCAAAAAAAAAACAGGATGCAAAGTTACAGCCACAAGAGCAGAGCAAAAGTCAATGTTTATTTACAATGAGAACAGATGGTCTATTAAAAAGCTAACGGAGGGCCGGGGATTTAGCTCAGTGGTTCCGCCGCCTGCCTCGAAAGCGCAAGGTACCAAGTTTGATCCCCAATACAAAAAAAAAAAGCTAGCAATGTCACACATCCAGAAAAATAATGTCATGGCTCTGTTAATTCTAGAATCATTGGTAAACTGCATTTTTGAGCTGCACGCTCTTTGCTTGCTCCTTTTGACAACTATTTATTTCATTTTTGTTTTTTAAAATTTGAAACAGGGTCTCATGATGTAGTCCAGCCTGGCAATGAACTCTCTGCAATCCTCCTGCCTCACCCTCCTGAGTGCTGAGGTTACAGGCGTGTGCCACCACGTCCAGCTGGACAGCTACTTTAAAAACAGCATTTCCACTGAATGGAGGGGAGGACACTCAGCTTTCCTTGGCATGGCAGCTTCTAGCTCTGACACCTGGAACCTCCTCTTGAGGACACTGAAGTGGGATTTTGGGGGATGCCTGATGCGCTGGTGCAGTGCTCCTGGAGTTCCCCACAGCTCCGGCTAGACCAGGGGTCACCCGCTCAATGGCAGACAAGGAGGAAGCCACCTCCCAGTCCCAGCTTATGCACCCCGGCTTAAGACATCCCTCGGTGCCACCCCAGGTCCTGGCCAACAGGAAAACCCGAGTGGCCGGGATGCAGAAGGGACAGGAAGGGCTCCACTTAGGACTGCAGGGGAAACACCAGAACTGCACAGTGTTTGCAAGATGCCCTGGCCAGGTGCACTCCCTCCCAGGCTGCAGGGTCCAGCTTTGTCAGCTATCTGGCAAACAAGGTGTGATCTAGATACGCAGAGAACGTTCAAATTTTTTAAATTTACTATAGTAACACATGGCCATGTGTCTTCCCCACAACACAACCACTTACTTCAAACACACTCATCCCATCATCCTGGCCACTTCCTGCAGCAGCTCTGGAGCCCTCTCTCCTGAGTGTCTTTAGTTGCAATGCTCTGGCTGCCTCAACGTCCTGAATGGATTCAAAACATTTCCTTTTCATGGTCATTTTGACTTTGGGGAAGAGCCAGAAGTCGCATGGTGCCAGATCCCATGGACAGGTGGCTGAGGACACAGCGTCAATTTTTTATGAGCTACCTTTCTGTTGGATGGCACCAGGCAGCAGTATTCACCACATTTTTTTTTATTGTGCCTCGTAAAGACATAGCAGGGGAAGAGGACAAAATTCATCAATGTCAATATCAATCCGTGTGGTCCCCAACTAAACTTTTCAGCTCATCATCTGTCAGCATCGTGATGTGCAGAGAAGACACATCCAGCAGCCTTGGAGTCTGGGGTTTGGATCTTTTCCCTGCTGGCGGCAGAAAGGACACTCCCCCGTCTGGAAGCTGGTGACCGTAGTGACCACAATGAGGAGGGATGTGGTGTGTGGTCCGCCTGGGCTCTGCTGCTGAGCCAGGATGTGGGCGGGCGGGTGGACAGGCTGAGTGTGTTCTTGACTTGTGACATTTTCAAGGCACAGTGAGCTTACGGGGCTGGGACCCGCGGCCCACGCAGGAGCGCCTGTGTGTGTTGCTCAATACACTGCAGGGGCTGCAGGGTGGACACAGTGTTCAGGGAGACCATGAGCCTGCTGGGATTTCTGACTGCCTAGGATCTCTGACTCCCACACTTTCCAAATGGCTGGGACTGGGTCCCGATGTCTGCTGGATGCAATTGAAAATGGTAAAGAACGGGCTTGATTCCCTATGTGAATGATTATGTGTGCGGTAGAAGTGTTTAAATCGCAGGTTTTAAGGGCTGAGGTTGTAGCTAGCAGTCCAGTGCTTGCCCTGGGTTCAGTCCCCAGGAGCGGGGGCTGGCCTGGATTAGCACCTGCCCCCCCCAAAACAGACCCGAAGGTGGAGCTCTCAGCCCTGGCACCAGAGCACACACCAGGCCTCTCAAGTCTCAGGGACACCTGGCCACACCCTGGCCACTCGGGTCAGCATCCAGGGGCCACCAGGGCATCGAGAGGGCTCTAAGCTCCCAGGTGAGCCACACCAGGGAGCAACCATGTGTTTGGGCTGTGTCACCATGTAGATTGATGGCCCACAAATGTAACTTCTATCTTGAAATGGACCCCAGAAGCCGGGAATGCTGGCGCACTCCTGTAAGTCCAGTATATAAGAGGCTGAGACAGGAGGATAGCCTCAAGTTTGAGGCCAGCCTGGGCTACTTGGTGAGTTCAAGGCCAGCCTGAACTGCATAGTGAGACCCTGTCTCAATAGAAAAGAAAAGAATCAGAAAAAGGGAAAGGAAATAAAAACAATAGCACGTTGCTGATTTACTGACATTGAGAAGCCACCAGCACCCGAGTGTTCCCTGCCTGGCCAGTGACTCAAAGCCTCTCCGCCCCTGGATAGAGACGATGCCTCCCTCCGTTACAGGACTGTAAATCCATAGAGAATCTAACAACGCTGATTAGAGAGGCAGATATTCGCTCAAAACGTAAAGTGTATAAAATTTACTAAGTTCATCACGGACATTAGAAATCAGATATACTCTCTACAAATCCCAAACTGTTGACTGATTGTCCTCCCGGTCCCAGGACGAGGAAGCCAGTGCGCGGACCCCACTTGCTTGTGCCCTGTCCTGGTCACCACCCTGTGTTCTGCTGGCCTGAAACTGGGTCCCTGCTGTGAGCCTCTGTTTACGTAACATTAGAACATTGTTTCCCTTTCCTTCTTCTTGCAGGTGAATTTACACAACACAAAGCAGCTCCCACCCTCCCTGGGTATAAAGGCTGCTCTCTTAACACCTGGTGCCTCTGAATGGGAGGCCTGCGGGGCGGCTCCCTCCGGCCAGGCCACCGCTCTGACCAGCAGCCTAAACGCCCACCCCACGGTCATTTCAGGCTATAGGGCTTCCAAGAGAGACAAACTTGCCTCTTGTGGAAAAAAAAATAATGCTATAATTCACAATAAAAACACTAAGTTAGAGAGTGTGAGCAAGCTTCTAATAAGAGAGATTTTATAAGAACTTACACATAAGACTGATCGCCTGGAGAGGGTTTCAGGCATTGCTTTACCCAGAACACACTCAGTCCCAAGACCCTGAGGCCAGCCCACCTGGCCTCATGTGCGGTCTGTAGGGTCCAGGGGTGCTGGCTGCGGCTGCCTGGGCTGGCCTCAGTCTCTTCCTGTCAATGCAGCTTGCTCTGGGGCATGTGGTCAACCTGGGAGCGATGCTCCGTAGCACCTGTTGGTCTAGAATTTTCTAATAACTCAACCTGAAGTCTTGTACCATCGCTACTCATCTGCATTTCCCAAACCCTTCCTGACAAATGTCTAGGAAAGGGGCCTCACCCTCCGGGGCCCAGGCCACTTTCAGAGGGGTCTGGGTGGAGCAGAGGCTTGGCGGAGTATGGATCCTGAAGACCCTGGACAAACTGAGACTCCACAGAGGCCCGGCCACAGTGCCCGCTGCACATGAGCTCCTATTCTCTTCGAATGCTGACTTGGATTCATGACTCCTATTCATTCCGAGGGAGGGTCGGTAACTAACTTCCCTCCTGTTCACAACACTGTCTCAGAAATGGAGGGGTTTCCTAGTCACTCCTCATGCAGCAGCACGCCTGTGATTGAAGGATGGATCTCAGAACCAGAGAATGTCAGCCAATCATAGAAATTCTCACTTCCTCGATAGCGATTGGTCAGAAATTCAAGGTCTAAGCCAATCAACACATCTCATTTCCCTAGTGGCTAGGGATTGGCTCAGAAATGGACGAGTGGCCAATGAAGGCCAAGAAACACCAAGGGAGATGAGTAGGGGCCCTGCAAAGGACTGGCTGCTCTCTGAGGGGGGGCGGCCTCCTCCTCCTGTCTCTTCCGTGTTCTGTGCTCATCTGCAGCTTTGGAGGGACAGAGGGACAGGGGGAAGCCTGGCGGCACAGCCAGAGCAACAGGGCTTCCACTGCAGACTCCAAAGATGCCTTCTTCTCCTCTTCTCTTTTCTCTTGGGGGCAGGAACTGGGAACTGAACCCAGGGCTTTTCCACTGAGCTATAGCCCAGTACCTTTTTTGTTTTGTTTTGTTTCTTAGTTTTTGTTTTAAAACAGGGTCTTGCTAAGTCACTAAGTTACCTAGGAAGGGCTCAAGGTCTTGATCCTCCTGCCTCAGCTTCCCAGAGTGCTGGGATTATAGACATGGGCAACCACACCCAGCAAATCTCCTTACTTTAGCGTCACCTTGACCAGCATTTTCTGCTTCATGCGTTTGAAAGTATCTATCTACTAGCATGTGCCCTCCCTCCCTCCCTCCCTCCCTCTCTCTCTCTCTCTCTCTCTCTCTCTCGATGTACAAAGCCATTCTGAAAAAAGTGTTATGGATTAGAAACAGAAGAGGACCACAGAGGAGGAACAGCAGGCTCAGGACTCATCTTCAGGCAGGTGGCACCACCAGGACTGCACTCCAAGGGCAAAGGGCCCCCATGTGTGCTGGAGCTGGAGCCGCCTCCCCAAGAACGGGCCCGGTGGTGACCACAGGCTGGGTCCCCTTGAATGAGATGCTTGCTGGACCTCAGGAGGGGGTGGCCAGGGCGGGGCCGCAGAGCACAGTGGGTGAGAGAAGGAAGAGCAGAACTAAACAAACCAAATAGCAGGCGCCTGCCCAACAGCACTCCGGAGCCTGAGAGAAAGGCAAACGCACTGAACGCAAACAGGCGGGTGTTCTTGAGGAAGACTAACTGGGCAAACATCAAAGGGGTTATCTTCAAAGACACAGGCCAAGGGACAACGTAGGCTCAGAGAAACCACGGGGACAGCTAAAAATCAAAAAGGGTGTAGGGCCGGGGATTTAGTTCAGTGGTTCCGCCGCCTGCCTTGCAAGCCCAAGGTCCCGGAGTTTGATCCCGGTACCAAAAAAAGGGGGGCTAGAATTAGGGGCGCAGTTCAGGCATGAGGCCCTGAGGTCCATTCCCAGTGCCCCAGAAAGGAAGAAGGGGGGGAGGGGTGAGCGGGGGAGGAGGAAGAGGAAAGAAAAGAAAAGAAAAATGACTGATTGGAAATCCTGAAAACAAAAAACTGTGAAGATCAAGATAAACAACTTAGTAACAGGGGAAGCCTAAGGTGGACACAGCTGAAGACAGAATTAATGCAGTGAAAGATTGTAGCAAGGAGTTTGTGCTAACAGGACAGGCAAAGAAGTGAAAACTATGAAAGGGACTGAAATACTACAAAGAGTAAAACAAGAGCTTCCTGCATTCGTGTTTAAGAGGAGTTCCGGAATGAGAGAAACGGGGCAATAACATCTGATGATTTTCTAAAATTATAAGAAGGCACGGGTGGGACAGAGGCCAAGTGAAGGGTTCGGGGTGACAGATGCGGAGCTGACCCTGCAGACCCGGAGAATGAACTGCCTGCCGGCCAGTGGCAAGACCCCAGGAAATGTGAGGGAGCCCGGGCCGTCTCACCTGCCCCAGGCTCAGCCCTGCTTGGTCTCCCGTGACTCTGGGGTTCAGCAGGCTGAGGTTCCTGATGCACTCCGTTACCCTGGAAGGAGTAGGCTGCATCCAGAAGCAGATGCCACATGCAGCCCAGGCAGGAAATGACGTCAGACCGCATCACAGCTCTTGGGCTGCTGTTGAGATTCTTGGGGTGTGTCCGGGACCCCTGTATTGGAAGTCCATTGCTTGGAGTGAATTCTGGGACAATTCAAATTTCACTCCGTTTCTTCTGTACCCAGTGACATTTTCTGTTCATTTTTCAAGTAATTTGCAGAGTTTGGGGGAGCAGACAGGTCTGTGGAGGCTTGGGACACTAGGAGTGTTCCCTGACTGTCCCCGCCTGGGGCCAGGCCTGAGGCTCCCCCAGAATGGTGAGGTCCCCTCCACCAGCCAAGTTGGAGAACCCCTGAATTTGGGCTTCCCTGGGCCCAAGACAGCAGAAGAGACAAAGAGAGGAGGGGAAAGCATTAAAGAAGGCAAGCTGTCCTGGGTCCTCTTGGGAATAACGCCGGCCTGGGCCTTCAGGGCCAGAGATCTTCTGCTCCTTCTCAGGATGGTCTTGTGTTCATTCACCAGATCGACGGTTTAGGGGCAAATTGGAAATATCTAGAGAATTTGTGAGTAATTTTTTTTTTTTTTTGAAACAGAGTCTTGCTATGTAGTCCAGGCTAGCCTTGAACTCATTAAGTAGCCCAGGCTGGCCTTTAATGCACAGTGATCCTCCTGCCTCAGTCTCTTGAGTGCTGGGATTATAGGCGTGCCCCACCTTGCCTTATTTATTCCTTCTTTGCCTCTTCCTGCTTTTCACTTCGGGCCCTGACAGCCAGTGAAATTTCATCGGAGCTGTGTTTCTCCCTGGAGACTTTGGACAGATGTGTGGCTGGTTACTTCCTTAAGATTGCACCGGGAAACCTAGCCGATCCCTCAGGAGTGGGGCTGTGAAGTGATCTGACAGTGAGCTCTGGGCCAGGCACTGGGCAGTTATCAGAGCCTGAGGTGGCTGCACACGGCTTCCTCGGGAACCGGCGCCCTTGGCTCCCTGAAGGAGGGGCGGGATCCAGGGTGAGACCACCAGGCCCAGGCAGTAGTCCTGGAAGTGACGCTGGCAGCGTTCAGCCCAAGGACTGCATCTTGCCACAGGAAGCCATGGCAGGTGGCAGGCTGGCCCTGCAGGCGTGGCACCCGTCTTCGAAACAGCCAGGCTGTGCCTCTGTGACCGGAAGGTCCCCTCCCTTCACACCCGGAAGCCACCACCCTGCTGAGTGACCACCGAGG